ACCGTAGGTATGTCACACCATATAGAGAGAAAGAAGACTCAGTACAGAAAACAGTGTAGATGTAGTGTTGAGAAACTTCTACTCAGAAACACCTAAACTAGAAAATTAACTTGCAATACACTATTTAGTAGTGATCCCAAACAACGCTAATGTATAAAACTGAGAGTGTTATTGACAGATGTGGACTGTAGTAAATTAAAGATAAAATATACTGAAAAAAGGAAGCAAAAGCAACAATAGATGACATGAGTTATATTAAACTTACAATATATATATAAAAAAAACTTATCAAAAGAGGCTGGCACAGTTATCGTCAACAGAGAGCTTAATATTTTTAGCATGTATAAGAAACAACTACAGGACGAGAATATGGCGAGTTATTAAAAAAAATCTTATGAATATACAAGACGTAGATCAGAAGAAACTGGCCTTATAGCTACACGAGTGATCGTAAATAACAGCTTCTTTATTCTACCCAATGATATATAAATGAACTGCGAATGACTCATAATCAATAAGCGTATTTGAATAACGTATTTTTGACGTCGTCACTGAACTTCAATTATCGTCGAAGCGATGTGTTTTCTTTGCATGCGGCTATGGCAAGTGACCTCGTTTCCAATTGAATCAAAAGTAATAATATCTATTGTAATAATGTTGATGATTGAATTTTTTGGTGCCGAATTCGAAGAAACAAAGAATGCGAGGATATCAGTGTCACCATAATGAGCTTATTAATATCTCCTCTTTTGAAGAACAAGTCCTTGTCGTAGATAAAACCTCGTGAGACATATAGCCTTATAAATAATCAAACAGATCTAATGCAGATACGAGATTATTGATAACCCAAAACTTGCCTTTGCCTTCAAGGAAAGAATTCAAGATAATATTATTTAAATTGTCTATCCGTCGAACAACCTTTACGAAAGTTCATTGATCTCTGCAAAAGACTGAGTATAAATCTGAAATGAATCAAATTCACGTATTATTAAAATTAGCAATACGTTTCGACTAACAATAAATAAGGTAACATATTTATTTCATAATTAAACAATGTCTATAGAGCCTTTTAACCATCACTTTGTCTTTTCTATCTTTGAAAATCCTTTAATCAATATTAAGAAGCGTTACTTTCATATTCATCAACATCATCATCAGTACTTATACGCCCCACTGCCGGGCCCAACGAAGTAGCTCGAGATAATAATTTTTGGTCATCCATCCCGTAACCGGCCGTACAGCAGCTACTCATTGACATTAATATTTTTTATAACAATGACCACATCGGATCACGCTATATTACATCAAAACTTTTGAGATATTACGCGTACTATATGCATTATTAATGGAACTATAAATATATGTATATAAACATTTACATATATTTATATTTTTTAAACATTTAAGTATGCATGCGTGAAAAAAAAATCAATAAAACCATTTCAGACTCCTGTATTTTATCACTTTTGCCAATAACAATAAATCGATGCACGAATCCAAATCTTCAAGTTGATTAGGATACATGTATAATTTTGTTGTATTAATGATACTTCTTTATGAGCCTGCTCTAATTTTACTGTAGCGTGACAATAATCCTAATTAATGTATAGTTCATTCGGCTAAATATCCTGCTTTCCTCGTTTCCTTTAATATCCAACTTGAATATTGCGTGACGATAAAATAGGAACATACTATCACATTATTAATATTAAATGGTTCTTATGATGCCATAAAAGGTCGTGATTACATCGTTAAAATATGTTGTTCTGTCCCTATTGCTTGGTCGATCGATCATCAAACGAAGTTATTATGCATTGTATCAGTAGAGAATAGGCTATTGTTTGTGAGGAAAAAATTACCATGTCCTACAATTTATTTTTAAGAAATTATTATTTTTGAATTTTATTATTTTGAAATTATCGGTATCAATTATTATATGTCATCAAGTATGATCTAAATAATATGCCTAAAATAAATTGGACTCTTGTGATAATTATTTTGTGACAAAAATTTTGGAGCCTAATGGATACAATTTGAATCCAAATCTGTTTACTTTACAGTTTAAATAAAAAAGGAGCTCAAAAGTCTATATAATATTCTACAAAGAAGTATGGACATAAATCTATAAAGGGTAACATAAATACAAGCTGAGTGCAAGCTAAAATTACACGAAGAGGTGCAAAGTAGACGCATTCATCTTTATCTAGTGACTTGCATGGCGTGTATTTTCATTGCCTGAGAGCATTTTAGTATGCTTCTAGATCATTTATCTTGAATCTGTGTACACGTAATCATCGATTACTTTTTCAATGTGATATTAAAATTGTTTTTTACTGAAAGTGATTTTTTGTGACACAATACAAGAATAGATTTTGCTAACTATTTTATTTTACAAAAGCAAAACGGGTTTTATCTAAAGCACTTGAAATTTTCTGTCGAATAGCGTATTTAACTTAGTTTTCAAAAAATTGTCAGTTAACAGGTTATACCAGAATGGGTACCATATTAACTGTATTTACACAAGCACATATTTAAAAAGCTAAAAGTAATAGCAACAAAGAGCATGTTGAATGTTTCTAAACGACAGATAAAAGTAGTAATGAGACAACTATAAAGCATCTATCGTCGGCTATCTAGCCAAGTAATGACTCGGTACATAGTGGACCACGCTGTTTGCTTTGTTCCAAACTTGGCATCCCTTTAAAAGAACCCCTTCTCAGAAATCTCGGCGCGTTTCCAGAACTCTTAAATATGTATAAGCAAAGTCTACGGGTCTTTTCAATGTCGCCTTTGCTGTTGTATTTACAGCAGTTGTATTTTAAGCGAGCTTTTTTGTGATTTTTATTTCAGCTTTGATATCGTTCGTGAAGTTGATTGAACGATTAACCATAATATTAATAAGATTTATTATCAGAATAAATCTAAATTCTTCCTTAATTATTTTTAATAAGATGTTTGTTTTTCAATAGAAACTGTTAAATTAAATATTTTGCATTCAGAATGCTATACTGAAAAATATTATTTTTGAAAAATTCTTAAAAAAGTTCACATTGTCCCTGGCACTCTGAAAAAGGACTCGAATCCATGACCATTCAGAATCCGGGCGACTGCTCTAACCATTTGTAAAAATATTTCTTTGAGCTGTTTAGGTGGATTGCCTGAACACTGATGAAAATACACTCTGTAGTGACTCGAAAGTGCCAATAGGTATGCAAGATTGCACTCGAAAGTGCTTGAAAAATTCGACAGTTCTGTTAGATCCAGGGTAGCTTAGTGGGTAGAGCAGTCGCCTGGATTGCTATTTAAAATTTCTTAAGACATATGAAACCGGGTGATGTTGCTTGTAAAGAGGTAATGTTATTCACGGTTAAAGTCATAGTCAAAATTCTAAATATTCCGATAAATTCCGAGCGAGAAGTCGTTATTGAAAATTTTATGATCCATTTCTGTTTTTCTTTGCAATAGCGCCAGAGCTTCAATAAAATGGACTGCATAAATTTCTCACACTTGGCTCGATTCGGCGCTCTAATGCGAGTAAAATTGTTTGCTAATGGCTGGTATCGAGCGATCACTTAATTCACTTACAACATGATAAGGAAGGAATTGCGTTTGTATTATTTTTTTTATTATTTATAATTTTGACCTGCTTTAATAAATTTATTGAAAGGTGTTATTTCGTGGAATAAAATATATACGCCCTTGGATAAAACTAAAAGTTAATACATCATACAATGAAGGCTCTATGGCGCAATGGTAAGAGCGATCAGTCTGTAGTACGGTTGTTAAGGAACTTTTGCAAGGGTCGGACATAGGATAGGTGTAGTTTATAATCATGAACGTCTCCATGGTTGGTTACGACTGCATCAGCCCCATCAATCCGCATTGCATGGTCCATACACCCTATTCGATTTTTTTCGATCCCATTCATAGAGAACACCTGGTGATGTTGATGATATTAATGAACCCATAAAAATTTAAGATTATAATATAACAAGAAATCTTCCATCACATTTATTTACCTTATCTAAGTATCTGAAATGAAAAATCTTAAAAACTACGAAATAAATATTCCTTAGGGTTTTCGCCAACAGATTTTTGAAGTTCAATCACTCGGTAATATATAGACACTGTACGTGCTTCTTACGCGATCTAAAGGCTGATACTTCATCGTTTCTAACTCTGTAATTTAGTAAACGTTTGCTTAAATTGGCTGAAGTGTGACGCACTTTGTCATAAAAATTTTAAGTCGGGTTTTATTAAGCTTTCCTATCAAAATCAAGAGCTGGTATATATATATATATATTTATTAACATTGGAAAACTTTTTCAATAGCATACAAAAATCACACAAAGTATTATGAACGGCCAAAGATCTTTTATATTTAACTCATTCTTTTGTATTTGATATTATTTTACTAGACATACAATAGCTCGTTATATACTCATTATTAGGTTAGTAACTTGATAGATTGTAATATGTTATGTAAGTGATCCCAAAGGATTGCCTTACCATTTTCCTCGGGTGTTGACTCTTATTACCTGGCCAGCAATCGTTTATAACTGAGCTACTTTATTTGTATTCCCATTATATTAATTATTTCATAGAACTCTTATGTGTTTGGTTTTATTAACGTTTTCCTCAATACCGTGACTTAATTGAATTAATACTGCACTTTTTAATTATTATGTTTAGGTTTGAACAACGAATTTCAAAAGTTAATTAATTTAATTTAAAATACTAATAAAAACTACCAAATAAACTGTAAAAAAATTGATATAGAATTTTATACTCAAATAATTTTACAACAATGATAAATGGCAGACACAATAAAGTGAAAATAGCAAAATAAATATCAACATACTCGCATATAACTTCGTGATAATTCTTTATATATCTAGTCTGTAGTCTAGAGTGTTCTAAATAATTAACTTACAGAATATATTAAACATAATAATATGTTCACATAGTGTTGTGTTGTTCTACTTGAATGTCTTGGGATTTAATGAAAATTGTCATGTTGACTTAATGAAAATATACTTTATTGAAGTTTGGTGTTCTTAAATGCAAGTTTCCCTTATATCAATATCAATGTATACAATTATTATATATAGTTAATAGTTTTGCTTTAACATTTGCTGATGTCAGGGAGGGGTTTGTTTTGACAGTGGTTACGCCAACCGTACCATGCCCTGAATCCGTGTCGTTTGAATACTTTTTTGGCGCACTGCGAAGCTTTGGTGATGTCATCAGTAAGGAGATCTGTAACAAATAGTTACAATATTATTTTAGTTTAAATTACATACATAAGCTTAATAAGCTGGTTTTGAAAAACTGAGTGACAAAAATCAACTAGAATACGTTTCATTCGCGCTTCAATAACATTTTGTTTGGACAGTTTTGTAAGTAGATCACAAATTTACAATAATGTCAAGACTTCATAGTACGAATAATATTGTTAGATAATATAATAACAAAATGCAGTGATCGAGACACTATTGAGATGCCATTATTATGTTAATATCGAGGCACGTTAATATTGGAATAACTTGATTAATTTGGTTATCATCGGATTTAATCAAAATCGACTCTTGGTTCAACCAAATGTGTAATTGTATCTGAGTATACAGCATTCGTAGCTGAGTGCATTTTGATTGAATCCAATGCCAACTAAATCGAAGACAATATTACCCGAAAGGCTGCTTTAAAACATGGGACTATAGATTTAACATTATATTTTTATAAATATTGTCATTTCCCAGGGTCAAACCTACATTGTCCTATCACCACCTATAGACATTCTCACAGAAATTGTATTGTGCATACTAAGTTTGTCTTTTATTCCAACTATTGAATACCAAATGGCATGAAATTGACAGTGTAGGTATATTCAAGTAAGCTTAACTTGAATTCACCGAACGTTATTGCATTACGTCTGTTTCCCAGAAGACTAGGCAGAGACAATATATTTACGGTCCTGACACACCTGTTCCGTTTCCAGAACATTTATCAATCGCTGTCTTGCATACCTATTAGTTTTTAGTGCTCTTAAGACCGTGTTTTCTTAGAATATTAAATAAATAAACTAACCTATATTATATACTCCACAATAATCAAATTTTGTTCTCCAAGTTTGAAACTTGGAGAACAAAATTTTAATTATAGTTGATTATAGTTATATATTTTCTTAATAAAATAAAAATTTAAAAAATCCACTGGGGCACCCAGAGATGGGGATCAAATCCTTGACCTTTCGCTATCCGGGCAACTGCTCTAACCACTGCGCTACCCAGGACTTAACAGGACCGTAGAATATTTCAAGCACTAGTTACTTTTTCGCCACTACAGAGCGTATTCTCATCAAAGTCCAAGCAGCCGAAATAAATATTATTACAAATATTTAAATTTTCGATAAATATGAAACCGTGTTCTAATTATTATATTTCATCAATTTCGCATTCAAACTGCTATATTAATAATATTCTTAGTGAAAAATGCTTAAAAAATTCACTTGGTCCCTGAAATGGGAATCGATCTTTCGCAATCCGGGTGACTCTAACATTAAAAAAAAAAAACAAAATTTTTTCATTTCCTATTAAGCATATTTTTCAGTATACCATAGTGAATGCGAAATGGATCAAATATATAGTTATCTATGTTAATATTAAAAATTATAAAATAATAAAATATGAACAAAAAGGAAAACCATGCGGGTAAAGCCGCTGGCGGAACTAGTCATTAATCTCACTGTGCTAAAAATTAATCAATTTAGAATCATCGATTTGCATTGAGATAATAATATGGTTAACTATTTACTAACTACTGAATTATATCCTTAAACATTTAATCATAAGAAAATAATAAAAGAAACAAAGTTCTTTAAGAAAAAAATATTTCTGTAAAAAATAAACAAATTTTCTATTCGATAAAAATAAATGTAATACATAAAACATATGACTTAGTACCTTCGACAACGGAAAATAGAAATATCCCGACGAAGTGAAATAAAATAAGGGTCCTCAACTCGTCACTAAGGGCTACTGTGATAAATAAAACATTAGTTTTTTTCTTCACTAAGTAGCGAAACTTACAGAGCGGCTTTAATACTTTTCGCGACAAGTTCCATGAAAATAATACGGATAAGAAGTGTGTCTCGTGTTCCTTTTTATTACATAATAATAATAAAACTATTGCTACTATTATGATTCATGTGACTTACAGTTTTGGAACATATTTTTTCACAAACATGTATTTTTTTTTAAATAATAACATTATGATTAAGATATGTTATTGAAAATACTTTTCAATTGATTGAAATTGTTAATAAAAAAAAAAAATATCTGATAGAAATAAAACCAATGCCTTCTGGCATGTTATTTAAAAACTTTAGATACAGATGTTTACTTTCCTTTTGTTTATGTTACATTCGTATATTATTATTATATTTCACTATCGGTTAATTGGCTCTGATTGATTAGCACATTATTCTGCTTAGTTTCAAGGTAATAATAAATTAGCTCAGGTTATTAATGTGCTATTTAATATTATAGAAATTAACTATTATATTTAACTTCTTGATCATATATTTAGCTATCGTACTTCAAAACCCTAAGTCGTGGATTTAAGCCTGTTTTATGATTAAAGCAGTACACATTAATTAACTTCATATAATATTTAGTCCTGTTAATAAAATTTTACTTTTAGTTTGGGTCTAAATGATAGATAAACGTAGTCCTGAAATATTTCATTGAAACTCAAAAACTACGAAATGGATTTTCATACGGGTATAACAATCGGATGTAATAATTTATGAGGAAGGTTTTGATCTATTATTTAATCCATAATGGCTGAAGTATGACGATGAAAGTTGAAATTGTCATAAAAGTTATAATTTTCTATATTTTATATGTAACTGTATATCTCGGTGTAGCTCGGTGGCGTAGTGGATAAGCGCCGCGGCCCGCGATTGTAGTCGTTAAGCAACTTTCGCAAGGGTCGGTCACGGGATGGGTGACCAAAAATTTAATATCTCGAGCTACTCCGTCCTTCGGAAGGCACGTTAAGCCGTTGGTCTCAGCTGCATTTGCAGTCGTTAATACCCTCCAATCCGCAATGGGCAAGCGTGGAGGGTCATGGCCCATCCTCCTTAACCATCCATAAGGAAGGCCCGAGCCCCTGCAGTGGGGACGTAAAAGGGCTGGTGATGAGATCATCAAACAGTTATTATTATTTTTTTATGTAGATATACAGATGTATATCTACATAAAAATATAATAATAACTGTTTTGCGTTCTGTAAATTGCTGAGTTGCATTTTGAAAAGAAATAGGCCTCAGAAGGGAAAAATGAGGTAACTATTTAGTATAATATATATAAGATCGCCAAATAAATATATAAAAAAGGTCACTCCTTTATTTTGAAAAGTTTGTGAAGATCATGAGTTTGTATCATCATCATTTCTATATATGTAATTATATTTATATTATTGATATGTTACATCTATGTCTATGTCAATATTATAAAGAGGTAAGATTTGATTTTGTTTGTTTGTTTGCATCGATTGGGCTCCGAAACTATTGGACCGATTTCAAAAATACCTTCACCTATAGGCAGCTACATCATACGCGGCTAACATAGACTATATTATACGCGTGCAAAGTTGCGGGAAAACGGCGCGTTTTGTAATATGTTTATTATTACTGTAGTGTTACCGTCACTAAAGTTTTAAATTAGTTAGCTATTTTTTAATTGCTCTGTACCGCCGTTTCTCATTTTACCCAAAGGATTGGGAGAGAAGCTATTAGTATTAAGTCCGACTTTTGTACTTTTCTTTTATGGTTAATGGATTTCTATAAATAAATAATAGACAGAAGGATTATATATATATATATATATAGACTGACCTGAACACGTGACGTTGCAATCTTTTCCAGGAGTGCCGGTGTTGCTGCACCAGTACTTGTCATTGATCTGGAACAGGCCGTAATCGTAGGAGCCGTTCTTGTTCTGCCTGCTCTTTCTCCCTGTGTTGCCAGCACTCTCGTTTTCAACTAAGCATACCCCTGTTTAAGGAGGAAAATAAATTATGGTTCAACCTTTATTCTTAAATTTAAAGTTTTGTTTAAATGCCTTAAATTGTAAACCTTATTTAGATTAGCGAATTTATTCTATTGAAGTAGAAATGTCCATTAGTATACTATCTGGGATAGTTGTTTTTTCTTTCAAGTATATTTCTAAGAAATAATTTTCTTAATTCCATTAGTTTCTCCCACGTTATTAACTTAGATGGACTTTGTTACATTGAACCTTTTAGAAGGGTATATTAAGTAGATAACCCTGTCTTACTACTAAGTTTATTCAATACATATTCCAAATTTTATTCAAACACATTTAGCTATTCCACCGAGATTAACGGCAAGCATTTAGATTTTTGTTATTTATTTATGTCTCCACAAATAAATGATTACAGAGAATATTTAAAATAAAATGTATTTTAATGTCATATTGACATAATTTTGTAAATCCAAAGTGTTATATGAAAGTAAAACAGTCAAAATAGTTATTTTTCTCTAGATGGCAGGGCAATACGTTAATCTTAGAAAGATAAAAGCAATACTCACAGGAACCATAACAAAGTAATAAAAAAAAATGTTTACAAATTTAAAATCTGACACTTATATTCGTATTGTAATTATTATATTTAAAAACAAAGAAAGCATAATTGATTATATCAACCGCCCGTCTTTACCCACGGTGCAGGGGGTGCAATGCACCCGAGCGCCGCGCGTTGGGGCCGCCACGCCGATATCTAATGTTGTAGCACCAACTCATCGATGACTTCGGTAATGCGCCCCAAAGTTGTAATTTTATTTCAATAATTTTTATATTTTCAACCGCTGACGCTGAACAACGAGTCTTGTTTTTTTTTGTTTTTTTTTTAATATAAATGTAACCAGTTTTGTTTTTTTTTTTATATAAATGTATGTAAAACTTTTTTTTTTCAAAACCTTTCTCCTGTAATATGGAGAGGAGAGGGGGATGGTGAGCCAGAGCAATGCTTGCACCCGGGCGCCTGTTGTGCTTAAGACGGGCCTGATATCAAATAGTTACATAATCAATTAAGCTTCTCTTTAAAATATATTTACTTACAATCTCTCATTTTATCCTCAGGGAATCCTTGTGCTCTCAAAGCTCTTGCTATTCCGCACCTATCTAGAGTTACTGCATTGCAATAGGAACTCAAAACACCTAAGACGAAGAGTGCAATCACAAACTTTGCCATGTTTAATGTGAAATTAGAAATGTTTATTATGTTACTTAGACTCTACACGCAGGCTGAAACTAGACTGACTGCTCAGTGTCTCAAAATGTATTTATATACTGAACCGATAACGGTGTTTACTTACAGATTCAAAGCAAGTTTGTCGGGTTCGGGTAAGGGGATTCCTGTGCGCTTAAGGAAAACCAATACACACCTCGCTTACAAAGTTATATTAGACTAGTGTTTACAAGATCGTTGCCTGTTGATCAACGTTTTGAGTCCCAATTTATCCTCTTGTCCTAAAAGGTTTTAAGGTTAAGTTAACACAAGGCTATCGATATTAAAGTTGAGGTTCAGATTCAATCCACGCTAATGAAATAGTAAGTCTATTTGAAACAGAACTTATTAGATTATTAGAGAAATCTTTTATCGTGCCATTTACCTATCCTAGTTGATAGGGCAATTGTTTTTTATATATATATATAGGTACCTATATTTGTAAGCATTGATATTTTCTATATTACTTAAAAATAATTATTTAGCATATATTTTGCTGCACTTTTACTTTCTTTAATTTATCTTTATCTTAATTTGTTATACAGTTAACCTTCCTAATGAATTATTCCATTTATTAGTTACAGATAAAAAAAACCGGGCAAGTCCAAGTCGAATTCGCACATGAAGGGTTCCGTTTGTTACGAGTATATGTGAGCCCCATTGGATATTTATTTTCTGTTTTTCTTTATAGTTAAAGTTAAGCAAGAGAAATAGAACGCCTGTGAAAATTTTAACTGTTTATTCATCACAGTTCATGAGACAGAAAGAAATACGATACCGTTTTAGAGTTCCGTGCCGAAAGATTAAAACGGGACCCTATTACTAATACTTCGCTGTCCGTCCGTCTGTCTATCACGAAGCTGTAACTCATGAACCGTGATAGTTCGACATCTGAAATTGTGACAGATAGGCTGATATAATAAGTCAGCGACAAACTACTAAATAGAATTTAATAAAATTGTGACAAATAATAAAGTAACAGAATAAAATAAATATCTAAGGGGGCTCCCATTCAACTTAAGTAGTTTTTAGGGTTTATCGTGTGGTACATAAACAGACTTACACAGCGTGGTATCGCAGTAGATAAAAATTATCACCTTACAGTTAATGCCTTACTGAACAAAAATAGGTACCTGTTACCATTCAATTTTAAATATACTTAGTACTAGATGTTTTCTCGTGACTGCGCCCGCGTTATAACCAATTATAACCTATATAACCCCCATACGATATAGCTTCGCGTTGGTAGAAGATTTATTAATTTTAAAAGGTTGGTGATGATTATGAGAAAAAAAAATCTTTATAGTAGATACATTTTGTGACAGCCTATATAAGAAATAGGTATATATATGTATTATGTAGGCATTTTTTTTATTACAAAAGTCAATCCTGTGACAATGACAATGGAAAGCTTCAGTTGTTTTAAGTTTCAGTATCTATAATTAATAATATTTCAGGCTTAACAGGTGTTCAACACCTGTATTTAATAACAATGACCGCATATTAACTATCCGGGGATTTTATTTAGAAGAAGCGAATAACCTCATTACGGTAATATAAAAAATATTGGACCTTGAATTCAGCCTTTATGATTTTCCTGATGACGCATCTGAACGGTTAAAAAATGATTGTAGATGTTTTCATTTGACCCAGCAATAGTAAATTTTATTTATCATATTAAAAATTAATTTAAGAAAAATATTTGTTCAAATCGGGAATGCAAGCTTAAAAGGCGATTACCACAAAATGCGTAAACTTGATAATTAGAAAAAAGAAGCGATTCGACTCAATATAGACGCCGTTATATTCGTTGAGTTTCTAAACCATCGCTTCTTTTGTACAGCGTCGTTTGATTTAAACACATATATACTGGTACTGTAATTAACGTGCAACGCAAACAGTAAATGCGACGAGGCAGTTCACTGTGGCTCATATCATTGACCTTGAACTATGTATCTAATCGAATGTGACTTCATTTTGACTTATTATTAAACCAATCACTTTGTAAAATTAATTACCTATCTGTTTAAGAAAGAAATATCAATATACCTTTTTATTATTCAAAACAAAATACTATATATATATATATAGTGTCAAAACGATAATTGCCAGCTTCGTATAAAAAAGAAACCTAACAACTTCGCCAGCCGATTTCAAGGTCCCGGGTGCGATTTAATCAATTTGGAATATTAAATTTCTATATTGTCTCTTGTATGGGTGTTGTGGTACTGGAATTGTATCAGATACTCCATATTACGACGGCTTTATCAACTCAATTTAGAATATGATCAAAGTATGTGATATTGCTAAATATTAAAAAAAGCATCTTTATGTCTCTTGAAGGTCTTTGGTAGCTCAATATAAGACAATCACCCTGGCAGCAAAAGATCGCGAGGTCAAGATTCTGAGATAAATTTTAATAATGAATAAAAAATATAACATTTATGCCTCGCTCTGGACACCCGCGGCGGCGGTGGCGGTGGCGGAAGCGACCGCGGCGCGGGCGGCGACGTGGGGAAACGGGCCTGTTCTCGACGCCAGCGTTCGATAGCTCATTTCAGTTTGTATGTTTAATATAATGTGAGTTCCCGAGTATGAAATATATATATTTTATTACTTGTTTATTAATTATACTGTTTTAAATAAATGACAGTTATGTTTTAACGTAATTCAAAACTGCAAAAATCGCCGTTAGATTGGCGGGCGACGCTCGTTGCCCTCTGTCTGCAACGCGGCCGTCCAAATTGTTACATACCGAACTCTATACAAACTTTCAAGTCGCGCGAGCCGTACGTTGTTCCACAGCAGTGTTGCCATGTGCACCGTATTTACGGTAAATACACCATAATTAACATAAATTTACCACCTACCTTAGCATCATAACGGTGATAAAATCTACCGTAATCTGTGTATTGTAATTTCTTTCAAATATTAGAAGTTTTGATCTCGCTTATGTTCACTAATTCCGATATCCAGGAACGTATCCTTAGAAATTAATGAATTGGGATGTTTTGGTAGAGGAATTTCCCTCGTATCCGAGTCTCCAGCTCTAAAGATAAGTATCTACTATAGAAAAAAAGGTCTATGCACAGTTAAATTTCTTAATGCGATGAATTTAAATGGGCTCATTAAACTTTATGCCTACTGACAAAATGTTGAAAGGACTAAATCAGAATATTTATAAAAATTAGGAAATTTTGTTATTTGATTCTGATTAATTTTATACGGTTAGTTTATACAACTTTTCATTAAAATATTTAAACCTGAATTTGGTGTTTTATTATAAATTATAACTACCACATTCCACCGTTGTTTACACAGTATTTTCCCTATACAGTTCACCATAATTTCTAAAAATCTAGCATATTGTTTTAGTAGAATAACCGCCGTGCATATTGTAGGTATGGCAACACTGCACCATAGTCGCCACCGCACCCGCGTACGTCCAGTTTGCGGCCTTATACCTGAATACACGCCACGCATTATTGCGTTAGCAACCGAATCGATGAATCATGACGATACACTTAGTGATAGTATAAGTATACAGAAGCAGTACTTCCCCATTTATATTGATGTTATGATGACAGATGAGTTCATCGTAATCTAATGATAAAATAAAATGTAATTGATCATTTCTACTGAGGAAAAGAGGAGTTTTGAAATTATGGTATTTGAAACATTAGGTATTGATTTCTAGGAACTTTGAGCCGTTTCGTTTTTATGTACATTCTTGTAATAAACTATAAAAATAATACTTTTTTAGTATTATTGCATCCAGCCTGGTTTTAAGTCTTTATATCTTACGAAGAATGCAAGCATTCTCCCACGTCTGTTTTTAGGGTTTATCATGCAACGGGTAAAACGGGATTGCTAAAACTTCAATATGCATCTGTTCGCTTATCACTAGGTTCTAGGTAGGCACTTATACAATTAAAATTATCACAGTTGATGTATTTCTGATAACTTTATAATGCAAATACTAAAAAACAGAATCAAGTTGATGTTTATATAGGGCCCCCATGCAACAAATGGTTTTTTTTTTTTGCGTTTTTCGTAGATAACGGTACGGAATTCTACGCGCACAAGTCTGACTCGCACGATTTTTGATGTTTTTAGTATCTGCCTTTTCTTATTTACGTTTTAGAGATATTATTCATTCTACAGTAAGATAAGTTTAGGTCTCTAGTTGCTAAACGGTCTTTTAACTATTGCCGCTCTCATTTTTTTTTTCATAACAAAACAACTTAAACTTCTACAGTCTTGAAAAATATGGAAATTATCGAATATGTATAAAAAAATGCATACACTCGAAAAAACAACTGGAAAATCGGCAATGTGTATTATTTGATTGACAAAACTTGAATTATAAAATAAATAAAATAAGCCATGCATTAATGTCTTATAATGAAAACAAAATTAGATTCTAGATAATATACAATATATAACCACTTATTTATATTAAACTCAATTTAATTAGATGTCTGGAAATGTGACCTTTAAGGTTAAAACCGTATTTTTACAATAATCGCTTTATAATAAAATGAATATTTTATTCGAAAATAAATAAAGACGCATTTTAATTGATTGTGAAAGATCGTTTGATCCCCTTTCAAATAAGCGATGAAAATACAAGTAATTTTACATAATTACTGATACTGCAAGATTATCAAAGAGATCAAATCTCTCTAGATTAAAGGTGTTAAAAAAGGTGACGTAATATTTTCATCTTGATTGATGATTACTTAAGAGAAAATTGTAAGGCAGAAATTCTGCAAAACAAATCGAATATTTATTAATCGTCCATTTTAACATCATAATATTGAATGAAAACTTCGTTTGAGAAAATTAATGTTACTTTAATAATTTTGAGGTTTTCATACAATTTATTTGGGTAATAAACAATAAACGATGTGTAAGTAAACTATACTAATAATTGAAAGAGGAAAGATTTGATTATTTGATTGTTTGTTTGCAACAAATGGGCGCATGCTCTCTATAAACTGGACCGAGAAGGTGACCAAGGTCGGAGGAAGGAAGAAGTCATGGTTGCGGAACATCCGAGAGTGGACCGGGATAGCGAGCGCTGCTGAGCTGTTCCGCCGAACTAAAGACAGGAAGGATCTGAACATGCTAATCGCTAACTAGTTGGAGTGACACGTTTAGAAGAAGAAGAAAAACAAATGGGCCCTAAAATTACTAGATCGATTTTAAAGTTCTTTCTCCTATGGAAAGCTACATTATCTGCGATGAACATAGGCTATGTTTTATGCCAAAAAACAGCAAATAAAGGTATGAAAATGGGAGTGGAGGTTTGCATAGGGAATTAAAATGTTGATATGTTAACCATTGTTTACTACTTAATTTGTAATTATGATTATACCCGTGTCATTATGTGAACTGATATCCAAAACAGTTCCCTAGGGACCACGCGGGCGAGGCCGCTGGTGGAAAGCTAGTGACTGATATAAAATCAGTCTTATGTAAAAGCTGTGTAGCTGTAATTTACAATAAGAGTACTTGGTCTTTGTAATATAGTTATTGTATATATATATATATAACCAAAGGTTACTCTCACTCACTCACTCATCACAATATCTCAGAAACTACAAATGCTAGGAGTTTTTAATTTTGCAAAAATAATTTTAGGACGTAGGTTCTCACTAAAGGATGAATGTTTTTATGGAATTTTCTCATTTCTGGACTTAAAACGTATAGTTTTACACGCTGGGGCTAGTAAAACAATAAAAAGCATTTCTTCCTTTAATTAATATATATCTATACATAATATAATAAAACAAAGTCGGTACCCGATGTACGTATATCTTTTAAATACGCAACGGATTTGAATTCGGCTTTCAACAATATACAGAGTGAAGCTAGAAATAGGTTTATATGTATAACTAGCGTTTGCTAACGAAGTTTTATACAAACTTTCATACCCTAGCTACCCTTCGGAGTGAAATTTTCAAAATCCTCCACTCCCCTACCCCAAACACCCCTATTTCATTCCAAATTCCAACTTTCTACGCTCAGTAGTTTTGGCTATATGTGTCAGTCAGTCAGTCACTCAGTAACGCAAGAATTTTATACCATATATAGATATAAGACCACGTGGTCGAAGCTGCTGGCGTAAAGTTAGTTGTATATAAAAAAAATAATTGAGAAACGAGACATGGGCAAAGACTCGCGCCATTTAAGTGTGATCGTTTTATTTTGTAGGCGTTTATTTTTATTCAAGTACAACATCATAATTGACTTCTTCTCATACTGGTTTTTTAATCGAGACTCTGACCAGAACTCAATTACCTTAGACGGTGTAAAAATATAACTCTAACATACTTCGAGTGAAGCCATTGAACTTCAAACATCATACACCACTTAATAAGAATTTGCTTAATTAAGATTAAAATTTAAAACAAATGCAATAAATATGAATTTGGTACACAGTATTATTCAATAATCTTTTCGAGTGATTAAAAACGTACGAGGTCTGTTCGTATGTCTGTCATTAATTAGATCTTCGAACACCTTTGTCTAAAGGACAAAGTATTTTATAAGGATTTTTTACGTGTATAATATATTAAGATTTTATGTGAATTGGCTGAAGAAAACAAAATTGGTGACTAGAGAGTTACAATAACTTAAATAGTAAAATGGGAATAGTCAGTAAGGACTGCTAATGTAACATAAAAACACAGATAAAACATAAAAATGTCTTGACGAATTATGTATCATTAATTATTTAATGCTTCAGTAAAAATTTCTTTGAAAAACCTTGCATACGCACATTAGTGTTTAGATTACGTTATAACGGCTGAAACTCTATTATATTTTGGTTTCAGCTCCTTGGTGTCCTTTTTATTCTATGATATACCATCATCAGAGTAAACATTATCTTTACAAAACTGTCACTACATTTATAAGATATTCTTAGTTCTAAAAGCCCTTCTGAAGCAGACAACCATAAGATGCACACTCATGTGGGACAAGGGTTCGCATGGTCTATTACCTCTGAAAAAGAAACCATAAAAAAATTGAGATGATGACTTGGTAAAAAACAAAATTCTACGTTATCAATCAGTTAACAGAAAAATATTAGATACATATGTTTATTGCTTCAATTGAACAAGAAGTGGGTACGTCACAACTAACGTACGTATAAAGGTGTGACGTCATGTGACATTTCAACTCAACTTACCGCCTTAAGTTATTGATTACGCAAAAAAATGTATTTAATACAAACAGAAATTAGGCGTCATCTCTATTATGAGATAGATTGCAAAGTGTCGCATCTTCTGCGCGAAGAAGTATTAACAGATATGGCTGATGCTTTTGTGTTTTAAAAACAATAAGAGACAAACAAATATGCAAACACTTTTTTTTGGTAACGCAGCGGTAATGCACCTTAAGCTTTAAATCCAGATTCTCCAGCCCCTCGGTCTAACGATCTAATAAAAGTCGTGGGAAGTCCCTGGATGCGGGCAGCGCAGGGACGATCGTCGTGGAAACCCACCGGGTTGGCCTATGTCCAACAGTGGGCGTCGAATGCATATGACGAATATTCGGTAATTCTTTTTATTCGTAAGTCTACAAATATAAAATGGCTGTCTGCATACCGTAGAGCTTTCGTATTTCAATAAAGCTCACGAAAACTTACAAGTCACCGTTAAAATACAAAGTTTGATAATTTAATTCGGGCCAGAGTTTGTTATGCAAACGTAACTTTGCACTCACTCGATAAATTCAGAACGAAGTTTATGCTAATTGTATTTGACGTCGCCTTAGGGATACAGTTAGGGCTTGAACAGGATTATCGCGGATAGAGACTTAAAATACATTCGCTAGAAAGGTGGGAACTATTACAGACTTTTTGTTATCTTACACTTAAACTAGACAGTTTATCATAATGTCATATATTTTATAGATTGTCTTTTGTGTTTATTATATTCCCTTCTACTTTGTTGAAACTTTATTATATTTTTATAAAATATATATTTTAAAACTACCTTATTATTATTATTACCCTTTTGCTTTGGTTATCATATTTGTTAGCGCAACAGTAGACACTTTTTTACAGAACACGTGTTACTTTATATTAATTAGTAGGTAGTTAGAATATTTCAAATTAAGTTAAACAATTTTAATATTAAATTATAACCCTTAAATTTTCTGTACGAAAAGCAACAAGTAGGTCTACAACTCACGCGAAACATTTACTGACTTAACCATTCAAATATGTGAAATACACTATAGGTCTTATTTACTGTACTCACCAAAAATATTGCATTAAATACCAATATTAAATAATTGACTCTGAAATATATTATACTTTAAAATAAAATTTAATTGAAATAGCAAACTATCCTAGTTGGCCTAGTGGGAAATATATCTTCGTTAATTTGATGTTATTATTTTGAGGGCTTGGTATCTATACTAATATTATAAAGCTAAGAGTTTGTTTGTTTGTTTGAACGCGCTAATCTCAGGAACTACTGGTTCGAATTGAAAAATTCTTTTTGTGTTGAATAGACCATTTATCAAGGTAGGATTGAGGCTATATAACATTACGCTGCAACTATTAGGAGCTAAGAAATAATGGGAAATGTGGACGAAGTCGCTGGAGGCCACTAGTTATATATAAAAAGTTATGTATTGAAGCAAATTTTCATTTGTTTGAAAGTAAACATCATATTATTTGCCCATGCAACTTTAATTGTTTTTCAGTTATCGGATTCATAAATATTCATATGCTAATATAGTTTTCGAGTTTGTTGACTATAAAAGCTTTTCCACAATCATTCCACGAATAAATTCATAACTTTCTGTTTGTGTTCCATAAAATAACATTGATGGAAATTCAAACATAATAAATAAAAACATATTCGTAACTCGTAACAAGTTTTTGGTAATTAGTGATTATATTACGTTGTTATATCACGTTATATAGATGGCGACCGTATTGATGTTTTTTACTCGTTTCTAGCTGTTTTGCCACAACTTTGCGTACATTATAATAGCTTGTTTGCGTACATTATAATAGCATCCTTGTATCCCCCGCATATGATGTAGCTGCGCGTTGGTGAAGGATTTTTTAAAGTCAAACAAACGTACAATCGAAGCTGTCTTCTTTATTATATTATTGTAAATATGCACGTATACACATATTTTATTATCTCGAGCTCTACTGTGCTTCAAAAGGCACGTTAATCCGTTGATCCTGAATTTATTTACAATACACACTTACCAATCCACATGGAGCCCGTGGGATTCAATAAGTGTTGAGGGTTTGTTCTCACTATTTAATTTGTTTCGATTTCATCCATAGAGAATTGCCTGTTGTGTATACAATATTGATATGAGTTGTTAAACAGACTGTTGGCTGGTAGACAGATTTAAAACGTCTTTCTTATTTCTTGGTACTTATATATAACGTATCAATAGAATACATATATAAAAAATAGAACATGTCAATGGCAAACTATATGCAGACCGACAGTCAGTGCTGTAATATAGAAATAAAATATTAATGTTGGTTGCAATATAATATAATAATATTATATAGTTATTGTTTGCAGCGATAAAACAATTTCCTTCCAGCAACGACAGAACACAATTATCTGACTTCCAGGATAATTAACTTACATTACTCTGTGCCAAACAAAAGTTTCCTTTAGAAAATATAAAGGCGTGTATCCACGTTGCGAATTGCTCACGAGGTTACTCACAAGCGATAGAGTCATCTAAATTAAATTTAAATTTAGATGACATTTAATTTGACATTTGTAATGATAATTGTAAATGGATTATTATGGTTGAATGGTTAATTATTAATTATTGACACCATCTTAACTGAAACATTATTCTCTGTTTTCATGTATCAATGACATTTAAAAATAAAAATATTTGCACACTGTTCATATACTGTATAATGTGAGAAACTATTGTTATAACTGTGTAACATCATTTGTACCATATTTTTGCAAATAAACATTTAATATTTTTATTATTATTATAGAGAGCTTGATTTCGGAGCCCTTCTCGTAGGATCCCTGAACTTTTCTTAGGTTTTATCAGGTCTTTTGTTAAAGTCTGGTTGGCCTACAACCAGACTTTGTCTGGGTCCAAATGGTTGGAAGCCTTGATTTGAGGCATGAGTTTAATTTAATGTTATTATAATATGGTTTGACATTTCCATGGTATTATAGCGAAACATTTAGGAGCATCCTATATTTTATGTTATGTTTCTAGTGAATAAATGAATCTCATCTTTCCCCTGTGTTAACAAAACATTGCAGGCTCGCAATGTGTACGTATGCCTTTATAATTGATAAATTGGCCTTTTATTTACGAGCTAGGTATGGTATTACCGCAACTATGATGAATCGCCGCTGGGGCCGATCTGTCTTGTTTACACCAGCGACGTTGCCGACAAATTGTTTCATTTCCTTCGAGCCGAATAGTAATGGGACCTTTGTTTAATGGAGGGAAACATGTGGCCCACTTTGGTGGCCCGCTTTTTCTACGGCCCACTAACCATGCAGAGATCCATCATGGCTGGATTAATTCACCCTTTTTGCTAATTGGTATAGTTATGGTAAATATATTGCAGAAGTTAATGGTAATAATACTCTGTCGTATTCAGATTTAAATCGTACAAAATAATAAATGCTCTGTAATCCATTTTAAAATTTAATCAGTTGATAATTAATTTTAGAACTGATTGTGGAAACTAACCTTTTATGTGTACTGTCGACAACACAACAGAGTGAAAGAGAGACAGGCAATCGCATTAATGCACATACTTATATTTTTAAAAGTTATTAAAATCTGTTTAACATTAATTGGTTCTGGGCTGGATTGAAAGAATTCTAATAAGAGGTATTTTATAAATCATTTACTGGCGCTGTTTCACAGAATATTTTTTGAATAGAATTAATGTTTATTTATTTTAGTCATTAAATTTCGCCGGAACATTCCTTCTTGAAAGAAACCAATTATTATTAGTATTATAACTTTAGAAGTGTAAAACAGAACAAAGTAAAGAATGTTTCACAAATACAATTTACCAAACAGATCCTTTATCTCATCGCCAACTTTGGTAAATATCTCAAAAATACCTTTGCCAAAATTGTTATAAACTTACTTTTAAACTGTGTCGTTGCTTTGTTGTTTAGCTTTGTGAGCGTCGAAGTGCTTACTACATTGTTTTCTTACTAAACTTCAACTGTTCTGTCTTAGTATTGATTTAAGCGGCTACCGAGTTCTATGCTTCTGCCTAAATTAAATGAAACACTCCAACTTTAACTATGTAAGACTCAGGTTTTGTTATAGATTAAATATCTTTAATAACCGTTATACTTTAATAGTTCCAAAAACATATTGTTATATCACAATAAGTCAATATATTATTGTTACTTTACATAAAAAATAGACATGTTTTTAGGGCTATTTCAACGTTAGTTGGAGAATTCGAACTTCTAAAATCAGTGGAACATCTTATAGTTGGCAGCTTTTGGTTTGGTAAATTTAACAGAATATCTAAGTAGCAATTATAAAACCAAAAAATTTTCTACACAAGGTTATTTTCGTAACAAATTTCTCAAAAAACTTATGAAAAACAACAAAAAAACCTCATCAAATCAGTGTTTCCGAAAACGCGGCCGTTATCACTCGCTTTCTCGCTGATTAGTTTCTTTTATTCCGGGTTCGCTTCAGGCTGGAAAGGGTTTCTTTGAAGGGTTATTAACGCAGTCTTTGTTTCAGGAGCGGCGACCCCTGCCCCCGGGGGCTTGTGGCGAGGAATGGCGCGAAGTAAGGGCGCAGTCTGCCTCTTTACAGTTCATTTTCTCTCCTGCATTATTGGTGAGCTTATTCAACCTTCTTACAGCACCGATAATTTTATAAAGCTTTCTATAGACTACTTAAGGCGAGATATTACATAATTACTACCTTTTAAAACAATTTTATCCTAAGCCTATATTAATATATGCCAAATAAAAATCATTTAATAAAAAAATAACATATATTCGAATGTTTGCAAAAATCACCAAGATTACTCTAAATAAGCTTTTTGGGCCGATTTTACGACTAACTTCATTTTAACTATATACAAAAATATGTTTTAATGTTATCTAAAACGATCAAAGGCTTTGTGTTGGAAATGTGCCTAAATTTTATTTTAGAGTATTCAGGCGAGGCTAAATTTCCGGTGTCTAGTCTCTCAAAATATATACAATAGTGGAAACTGAGGTAGTCAATTGTTATCTAATTATCACTGACTTTTATCTAGGAGTCCGTCTAGTCTGGAATACTTGATATGAACTTCAGGTTAATTTTGTGCCTAAAGTTAATATTTCAAGCTTAATCAATTACAAGCACGCATTCTAAAATTATTTAATTTAAAGTTAATGAAATCTATATATAGTTCAATACTAGTAAAAGGAGACTTTAGTTTGAGAATAATGTTATGACGTATTACAGGGGAAATGTTTGATTTTGTTTGACCACACAATAGACATGTTTCTTAATATTACTTCTCAATAAGTAAGTGCTTGGAACTGTTCTTTGATATTTCAATTGAAGTTTGTTACCGATTTTAAAATAGTATGATGGTTCAAAACTCAGAAATTAATATCAATTCCAGCAGCTCGAAAAGTTTCTAAACAATATAAATGGAGATGGTTTAATCCAACCTAGAGTTGAATCAGGAACATTGAATTTGACTACACCGACTATTTCGAATTCGAGTTTCAAATTTCTAATTGATTACCAAAGCAAAGTTACAAAAGACACTGACATAGACAACTGATCGAGAATAATTAAGTGTTCTATTTGGTATCATATAAAGTTCAATATTGCTTGCTTCGATCGTTTAATTTGCTATCGTCGAAAAAGCAAACAAATACAATAGGAATGTCTTTATATGATTGAGCAAATTTATCACAATACACTCGTATAGAATGTGAAATCCAGAACTTTCATGTTAAATGATAGTGAAAGTGTCAACAACTTTATGCGGGTGGCATTCGATATGATTAAATAGTCTCGTGTAGCAATACATTAAAGTAATTTATATTCGGTTGCTGTCTTACGAATATATCGATAACTAGCTTTCCGCCTGCGGCTTCGTCCGGTTGCATTTCATTGCTACTACTCACTCGTTAGTCATAGCATGATATTATAAAGCTTATAGCCTCCCTCAACAAATGGATTATTCAACACAAAAATATTTTTTTCAATTCGAACCGGTAATTTTTAAAATTAGCGTACCATACATTCTTACTCTAGAGAAAGATACGTTGTACGGTACATTGATGTCACAAACACGCAACACTTGGGTATAGAACGGATCACGTGGTGGATCCACGTGCGCCTAGTATGATTTAACTACGTGAAAATTACTTCAGATGCCCAATTAAAAAAAATGCTGTTAGTGTTAGAGTAGAGAAAAAAGTGTAACACTAATATAATAAGGCTTAAACTATTTATCAATTTATTAAAAGACAGTCCCAATAATTATAACTTTCTATTAGTTTTGTGACAAGAAATAACATCCAAATGAGCTGTAATTGGTTTATTTTAAACTATATCATATTTATAAGGGTTTTGTCAAAATTTAAACGTAAATTTATAAAGTTTTCTCTATAGAAAAAAGTTGTCCTTGTCTATCTAGCGAGATACCTACAAACAAAGCTTTAACGTCCATATACAGCACAGAGAAGTTTGACAAAATAATTTTATCACCAGTCCTATGTTGCCCTTGCTAAAGTCGCTTAGTTTCTGTGGCGACAGACATAAATTGAGCTCTCTACTCAGCCTTACATTAATCTAAAAAAATCTTACCTATGGGAACCCGCTATTGAGAAATTTCATTTACAGGGCGTTAATGTAATATTTTCTCTTTTTATTTTGTCAAATTTATTCTGCTGGAACTTCAATGAAACCCTTTAGACATAAAATAATCATGAAGTGTACAATAGGGATACATGTTAAAAACAAAAAACTATTTAGTCCGTCAGTCAGATAAAGGAAAAATAATAGATACGAATTTTTTTGACTTCAATTTAACAAGAAATAGCTTAGATAACATTAAATTTGAGGAGCGGGGGCTCGCTACGTTACAGTTTTGAAGGAAGTGTACCAAAGCGTGACGTCATGTGAAATTTTAATTTAATGTATCGCCGTAATTTATTGATTACGAAAAAAAATACGTGTTTAAAATTTTTCAACAATCTACCGGACGGACAAACAAACAAAAAATTGTCGTCATGCCTATTATCTCGGCAACTGTGTTTATTTTTTATTTCCTTGAAACTTTAATTAAACCTTTACTCCACACATAATTACTACGAAGCTCATATACGAGCTCATTTGAAGTTCCGATTACAGATACCTCGACGTTCAGCATAACGTTGTCACAGCATAGAGGTTCAATCAAATAAAACCTTATTCAACAGATAATGTAGGTTTTATTTGATTTTATTATGGAATAACAATGTTGTACTCCTAATATTAACATCTCATACATCGTTGATAATTTGAGTTTCTGTCCTACGTTAACTAATGCATTATAAAAGGAACTATAGAGCAAGACATGGTCGCTGAATGTCAAATTTATGTGGGTAATGTTACTTTAAATAATGATAATTATTTAAAGCAATATTACCCAACAATAATGACAATAATGGCAACTTTTATGACTTCACGTAATAACCAGCTAAATCTACATATACATCCATGCCCTCATAATTTTTAAAACTAACATTTTCAAGTATATGAGACTGTGCTCTGTAATTTGTGATTTTGAATATTGAGCATCTTTGACAAAAACTGATCATTGGAGGGCTGATTATTGGATCATAAAGCTATCTCCAGCTATACCATGATTAGTAAAATACGTTAAACAGTTGATACTGACTACATATGTAGTAATTAATACTAGCCAAACTACATTCAGACACTGCGTGGTGTATACGCTGCTAAATTAATTTTGAACAATAATGGAATGTATAAAATTTTTTCATTTTTATCATAGTTCATCTATTCATGTACAATAATAATGTGTAAGAGAGAAAAAAAAAACATACTCATGAAGTAACAAGAGAGCGGTCAACATGGACCCTATCTCTATCCCTATTCATTTTACACTTTAGATAATTATTTATTTTATTTAAAATCAATATTATACAGATAAGTCAATAACAGTTATATAAAAAACCTAACAGGTACAAGGCTCCTGCATAGGGATACGAGTTTTTTTCTTTATTCGCATAATAGCAGTATCATCCAAAAATTTACAATTTTTACATTGAATATAACCATACAGTATCGTACATTACTATAAACCTTTCCATCCAAAACGCATCTCTTGTCGACCGTTAAGAAACAATGTTCAATATATCGGGATTTGTAAGCGCCATAGTTTCCGATATTCCTTTGTTATCTTAAAATAGAGACGCCGTAGTTTCGATATCAAAATGTACTCGCAACTAATATTTTACGAAACAGTATTGCTGTACTTTATAGTTTCCGTGAAATAATTGTTCTTCTACTGATTAATACACGAACAGCAAGTTGCACAAATGTCCATTAAAATGTTCATTACTTTAAAGTGACGTTACCCATAATTTAACATTCATTAGAGCTTAAAGGCGTCATTAAACCCTAACGGACGGTTGTGCAACTGACCGTAAATAAAATTAAAATACCTAAGGGATAACCCTAATATAAAATACTTATAAAAGTATTTTCAAATAACCCCTTATTATATAAAATAATATGCACAAACATGTATGTTTGTTTATTTCTATTACAACTTTTATTCCACACAATAAACCATTTAACTTGGTGTTTATTTCCAGTGATAATTATAGAAGTGGTAAGTGGTTATTACGCGATAACCATCCAAAGACTTTTAACATAGAAGTTTTTGCATCTGTAATATTAAAATTATGGCATTCAAATCTTTACGAATATTATATTAGCAAACAATATTAACAATTTTAAAATTTGATTTCAAGATTTATACCATATAAACAAAGTTCAATACCAATCAGGAAAATGAAACCAATCAAAAAGTTCGCATATATATCTGATTATAATGTATGTACCTATAGAAGGAAACTGTAATGATACCAAAATCTGGCGATAATCGATGGGATAAGTTGATGAAACTCTTGCTAAGTACAATTAAGTTTCACTACGAATAAACCTCTTATTGTAATGATAACTGCTAAATGATAACTATAATGAAATTATTTTTCCTACATGACAGCATTCTTATAGTTAAAATAAGTCAAAACAAGCGAAATTTTTATGAAATCCCTGACGTACTAAATTTTCCGACGAACTGTTTAGTAAGAGAGCCGTTAATTCTTACAAAAACAGGCCGCGTAACAAAACAGCTGTAAAATACCATTGATGCGCACCGTCATAATTTAAAATTTAATACTTAATCAAGTTTCGGTTGACAATCAAGATTTACGTCTCCGTTGGGAGGTTTCATTTTCCACTCCATTTCTTTCGCAGGTCTTTATGCGACAGGACGATTAATTTTTAAAGTACCGCAAACGATCATTAATCCTGCCAGTCGCTTCCGACGAATTAATAAATTTATCACTTTGTTTATGCTGTGAAAATACGTTTAGACGGAGCTAAACGGCTCAACCTTAATATTGAGTGATTATGGTCGCGTGGTGCTCACCAAAATTAAGCTTAATAAGTTTTGTTTAACACTCCATACTCCATATTAAATATAATTTATTTCTTATTATATAAACGGATAATGTCATTTAGTAAAGACATTAGACTGAAAAGAATCGAGTGCGAATCCAATTCGTTTAAAGAGCACGTCTAAACGTATAAGAACTTTGACGCCGATTATATTATAGTAGCTTTTTTCCCGCGACTATTACTGTATAATGTAGGAATTTTTAAAATCGGTCCAGATGTTTCGGAGTCTATTCGATGCAAACAAATAAACAGTCAGAAATTTCCTCATTAAAATATTAGTGTAGATTTAGAGCCACTAACACTATAAGTGATATTATTACGATTAGATACGAAATTAATTCGCTTTTAATAATTTACATAATTAGTGATTCATAAGTCCTACTTTGCTTTAATGGGGAAAATTAACAATAAAAGTATGTGTGTGTTCGTTTTGACATGTAGTGCAGTGAACCTTTAATATTGTTTATGATCTTTTTCATTTCTATAATAACAAAAGAGGTTTACAAACAAAATAATGTTCCTTGCCGTTTCAAAATTTTAATTAAGATAAGGATAACGGTTGAAACCAAAAGGTTTCAGTTTTATCGATAAATTCGGGGAAATGTCGAGCGTCGAGACTACGTACCGAGTTAATTATATTTGAACTGCGTTGATGAATGCCTGTTTTGACGCTTGAACGGAACCGGTGGGCGTACAAAATGTTAGCTCAAATCCGGCGCGATTGTTCGAGTTAGAATATAAACAAGAAACACACGGAATATTTATTAAAAGACACAACTGTGAGTAATTTATATGTAGGTATGAAGAAGTAATTGTGATTTTATTAAATACCAGCTTATCTAATCGTGTTTGTACCACTCATTTTGTATAAGAAAAGTTTCGTTTCTACTATTTATCTATATCTTCACGCTGTAGGTATCTCTTGCGGGGATATTTACTATTATACTATAATGTATAAGTTATTTCATGAAATAACATTCGTATTCACAATTCTAATTTTAAAATAACCAAAATTAGATTGTAAAAATAAATAAATAAAATTATAATATGAAATAAATAAAAAATTGAAACAAATATATAATCAATTCATCGTTAAATCCTGAAATAAAATCGCTTATTATTATTTTACAAGATTCATAAATTGATAACATAATAATACTTTTGCTATTTCTTATTCCAAATATTAAAAAACTAACATAAAATTATTGTATTTGATCATTATTGCACTCACAATGCTATACTGGAAAATATTTTTAATGAATGTTGCTTAAAAAATGTTTTGGGTGCAAAATACACTCACCATTAGCGAAAAAAGGTAAAAATTCTTGAAAAACTCGTCAGTCCCGGTAGGCCTGTGTTAGATCATGGGTTCGAATCCCATCACCTCAGAAGGTGAGGCTGGTGGACTTTTTAATAATTTTTCATTAAAAATATTTAAATTATTTTTATAAATCGGTTCTTCAACCGCATTAGATGTTTTTAGTGCTGTTTATGTTTATTCTGTTACTTCTTCGTCTTATTTTCGAGTGATGTAGTTGGGTGTTGTTATAAGAAATAATCTTGTTATATATCTGTCTTTTTTATCGCTCGGTGGCGTAGTGGATGAAAGCCACCGCGATCGTTGATGTTAAGCAACTTTCGCAAGGGAGATCACTGGAAGCAATTATCAATTCAACAATTTGACATTCAAGCACAAAAGTCAAATATCGATAGATAATAGTGTATAGTTATTTAGAGTGATGCTATAGTAATCCATTTGTTATATAGTTAAATAGCTGTCAGTAGCACGTTTCATAATTTCTGAATAAACTTAATTAAGTAACGACACGACTTGGGTAATTTATAAGTTTATAAGTGGGTCAGTCGTGCCTGGAATTTTTCAGGCCGAAACTAATTATACAACGTGACTTTACGTTTTATTCTAAATATTAGTAAACAGTGTAGGTTCTTTTCATTATAGTTTTCAACTGAAAAGAAAAGTATCTGTGTATGATACAAAATCACCAGCTTAGTAATCTCCCCTCTGCTGATGCGCGGTCCTCCAATACAAGGAATCGAATCGAAATGGGAGAATGGGTCATGACCGACTACAGATGCATCCGGGAACCGCGGAATAACGTGCCTTCCTAAGCACGTACGAGATCGAGGTAATAATAGCCGAACGCGCTAACTGCTGCACCATCGAGCTCCTCCAACATAACTCCAACTCCAACACAAATCCAAGTGGTATAACATCAATAAAGATATCAATAAGTCCTATATGCTAATATTATAAATAGAGAATTATGTCTATTTCTTTGTGCGTTCCAGCGAAGCGTCATTGTGCTATGATTTTTCCATGCAGAGATATTTGTCAAGCTAGAGAGTGATGTAGTTTCTACTGAGATAAAACATTCCATTCTCTGTGACCACGCCGGTAAAGATACATACATTATAACTGAAATTCAGAGAAATTTTATGCTTAAACCCAAGTAAATGTTTTCGATGTCTAACCGTGTGTTATCTAAACTCATTGTCTATTACTATGTGTTTTTTCTTATTCACATTAGAGTGACGAACGGCTTTAATTTTCTTAATAGTAAAGGTTAATACAAAAAGCTATAACATTAAAACTATTATAATATAAAAAAAAAAATTGTAATAGTCACGTATCATTCAAAATTCATAGTCTTACCGTTTAATATTTTCATTAGTACTTTATTGCCAATTTTCAAATTATTTCTTAACCCTATTACAGTATTATATGAATTATAAATAAATAAATAAGATAAAAATATTTCTATTAAAGAGTCTGTAACAAAATAATATTATACGAGTATATCTCTATAAAAAAGATAAAAGATTTTCGATTTCATCAAATAAATTAATTTATTATAAAAAATAAAATAAATATCTGTAATAGGGATGTAGACCGGGTAAAACGTAATTCTATTTAGTCCGTCAGTCAGATAATAGAAAAATATTAGATACGTATTTTTTTACTTCAATTTAACAAGAAATAGCTTAAATAATAGGCATTAAATTTGAGGAGCGTGGGCTCGCACCGTCACAGTTTTGTAAAAAATGTATCAAAGCGTGACGTCATCATCATCATCAGCCCTTTATTTCGTCCCCACTGCAGGTGCTCAGGCCTTCCTTATGGATAGTTAAGGAGCATAGACCATGACCCTCCACGCTTAACCAATGCTGATTGGCGGGTATTAACGACTACAAATGCAGCCGGGACCAACGGCTTAACGTGCCTTCCGAAGCACGGAATAGCTCGAAATAATAATTTTTCGGTCACCCATCCCGTGACCGAACCTTGCGAAAGTTGCTTAACGACAACGATCACGTGCCGCGGCGCATATCCACTACGCCACCGAGCTACTCACGACGTCATGTGACAATATAACTTAATGTATTGGCGGAATTTAATGATTACGAAAAAAAAACGTGTTAAATATTTTCCAACGATCTACTAGACGAACAAACAAACAAAAATTTGTCGCCATACCTATTCTTAATAACAACGTAATTCAAAGCAGGTATTTAAATGTAATAATAAAAAGAATTTCAACCAAACAAAAAATGAAAATTATTATTACAGAATAAGTGAAGGAATATTGTCGGTAGATAACATTTTAAAAATTTGAAGAATTAAAAAAAAAATATTGCTGTGACTAACTGCTGTCGAATATAAGTGTTATAGCCAACTTGAAATAGCATTTTATATCAAAATTAGACGTAATAAGCTCGTATAAAGTTTCATTTTGGTGTTCCAAAAGTTAACTTAAAAATCTTAATAAATCCCAAGTCTGCATCATAAGTTATTTTGGCACAATATTTTGATATTGATTATGAAAAAGTCTTATTAATCAACAAACTCAAGTAAAATATATTAATAATATCTCTGAGGTTTCGGGTCCGATTTCCGGTCAGATTAATGTAGAAAATGAACTTTTCTATATTTGCTTGGATCTGGGTGTTGTGGTACCTTCGTCCTATCAGATACTCCACAATACAGGGGCTTTAGCTACTTATCTTGGAATCTGATCAAAGTATGTGATGTTGGCTTACATTTATTTACTTATTATTCATTTATTTAATACAACATTACTCGTGTAATTTACAAATTTTATTAAATAATAAGACGTTTCATATTCTTGGTTAATTATGGATGACCACAATGTATTTATGAAGTACACGTTCAGGGTTAATATTCTATATTTTCACCACAAAACAAACCCAAATACTGTAAAAATCAAATCAGCAAAACATGTTGCTTCAGCAACATGCATAAACCCATTCGAAAGTTTGATTAACCTACTTTTGTTTTTACCAGTGTGTCGCCAAGAAAGTGGTAATAGCCGGTCACGTGATCAAAGCACCGTCTCCGAGTCATCAAGGAGATTTCGAACAGAGTTCTTAGAAGACTGGCCCCAGACACCTGGGGCACCATACTTCGATCCTAGCACGCCCGACAACGTGACCGGCCTAGTTGGACACCCGGTCACATTGTTATGTAAAGTTAAAAATTTACAAAATAGAACGGTGAGTACTTTTCCTACACTAATATGTATATTATAATGTAACGAATAAACTCAAAACTTACTGGGTCAATTTGAAAAATTGTTACAGTATTAGTTTAATCAGGATAAGCCAACTGTTTTATTTAGTCTTCTTCTTCCTTTTTTTTTTATTAATGGCTTATCTGCGCGTTTCACACAATTCTGCCAATGTAAGTAAATAAATTAATTTTTACATGTTTGATGGCGATGATTTTCTTGTTCATGTGGAAAACTTTTATTTAGTCATCGAGTTATTTAATTTTTTATAGCTAATAGACAACCCTAAAGCAACTTTATATATTTTTTTTTATTTCAATAACCCAAAAATATGAACGCTTTTCCTCACAGATTTGTATCATATAATCAAATCCCGAGATAATTAACAATGTTAAATTCACGAAGGTTATTAAAATAAAATCTCTAAAGTGACTTATTATAGAAATATTGAAGCCCGACTTCTGACTGACTCTGGAGGTTTTCTGTAGGTTATTGATTAATGGTAGGCGCCCCAATAACTAGCACTATCTATTCTTACTTATAATAATCTTGCTTAATCTAGCTCCTCGATATAGTTAAATTATTTGACCGTAGTTGCAGTTTTTTAGCCAAAATATTGACCAAAAAAACATGTTTCGCTGATATGTAACCATTGCTCGATATTTTTTACATTTGGTTAACTACGAATAAAAAACCGACCCTATGAAAAACCATATCATAAAAGATCTAGAAGGTAATAAAATTGAATCCTACTTCATAGAAGAACCAAGTAAAAATAAAACAGAAAAATTTCTATAATACAAGTGCTTGCACATAAAACTTAAGTGTAAATTTCCGAGCTATTGCACTAAGCTAAAAGTAAAGAGCATACTTTCATATCCCTTTACATATTCTACATACTAACAAAAAGCATCGTAAAGTCTAGTGCAACATGCATTTATTAGATTTCATAGATGAAAGTTATTTTTAGAAATTTACAATCTTGATAAAAATGCTAATGCAGTTATGCAACAAGCAGGACTCCTCCGTCGTAAACCAGTTCACAACTTGGACTTGTTCCAATCTCATTATAGTGGTCCGTGCCGTCGCAGGCGCGTTGCGTTTCCGCAACTTCGCTAACTACACATTTACTACGGACGACATCAAAAAACAAATACTAACTTACGCTATATGTTGGACTTAATATTTGCTTTGTATCTAAATGTTTGTATTGCATTACACAATATTGTTTAAAGCTGTACATTTGAGTATTAAAAAAGGTTGTAAATTTGAATAGAATTATAATATTTGTTGGATACAAAATAACGCGGTGTACCTGGCGGGGGCCCTACCCACTGAATGTCGCCGTTCAAGAACCTTTTCTGTCCCAATGGCCATCTGCTCTGATAATATTTAAAGTGTTCAACTCATATCAATTTTCTCTTATCTAGTACAAGGCATAGCTTATGACTAGCGCAAGGCGCCGTACAACGAATATCATAACTTTAGATATTGCCTAATTTCATTAGGTGGTTCCTAGTCAATAGTGAAATACATTTTTACTTTAGGAATCGCCTAAACATTAAGGCGACAGATTTGGGTGATACCTAAGTTTAAAGTTGAAAATGGCCATCAATCTAGTTACTAAGTATAAAAGGTCTTATTATTTCGTTTTGACAATATCAGTGCAGAAAAATGGGATATAATTATTTTAAACGAAACGATTATGTCACATCTCAAACAGGAGATGTTACTATGTAGAGCTCTAGTCTCAGCGTCTCAAAATTAAATTAAAAAGGATAAAATACCTGTACAGTTCCAGATGTCGGGACAATTTGAGTCTCCTCCGAGAAACTTTGCGCTTGAAGACGCTGTCTTGGAAGTTGGAATGTAATAAAAAACAATAAAACTTCTACAAAACCGTTTTCAAGGAAATCGTGGCAGACAATAACGACACTTCTTGTTCAATTTGATTTGTGAAGTTAAACATTCGAAACTGTGTTTTAAAACTTTAGAATATGCGAACGGCTCAATGAGTTGTAAACTGTTTCTTTGCGGTTTGGCTTCCAATCATATGCCACAAACTACGAGTATTACCAGTCAGACTTTAGGATGATTGCATGATTATTGAATAACTTTAATAAAGCACGAATGAACATCATATTCATATTTATTTCCATATTAAGGATAGTATTACCGAGAATGATTGACGTCTCCTAATAAAAAGGGATAATGATGGGTAAAATAAAAGAAATTCTATTTAGTCCGTCAGTCAGATAATAAAAAAATATTAGATACGATTTTTTGTTTCAATTTAACAAGAAATGGCTTAGATAATACAAATGTATGACGTCAATGACATTTCAACTCAACGTATCGTAATTTATTGATTATGAAAAAAAATACTTGTTTATATTAATAAATAAATAATAAATTTATTTCTTTTCCAAAAACATTTTTTACATTTAAAGGTTGGCTCTTTATTTTAAGTGCATAACACCTGTACCAGAAAGAGCCGCTCTTCCATAGCTAAAACCTCAATGGTATAGTTATAAATAATTCAAAATATACAGACAGGCGGAATGTGTAAAACGGCATGCGCCCGTGTGTGTATGTGTGTGTGTGTGTGTGTGTGTGTGTGTGTGCGTGTATGTGTGTGTGTGTGTTTTATATATATATTACGCATATCAAATTTTAGAACCTTTCAAGTAAACAGTCACTTTAAGTTGGCATGGTGGGTAGGTTAGAGGATATATATTAAGAATTTTGTTAATACGATTCTAAATGAAGGATGATGGATTTATCAATTGTTTTTTAGTGAATTTTTATAACGTTTGGTTATGGCGACATTACCCTTTCTTCTCTTCTTTATTATATTAGGGTAGTATTCTTCAATAAGTAGATTATTGAAGACAGAGAAACAAACGACGATTTTTTTTTAAAAAGATTCAGTAGACCGTATTTAACACGTTATTTTTATTTTCATTCAGGTATCATGGGTCCGACACAGAGACATACATTTACTGACGGTAGGTCGGTACACTTATACGTCAGACCAGAGGTTCGAAGCCCAACACAAGCCGCGCTCGGAGGAGTGGGCGTTATACATCCGAAGCCCACAGCGACGAGATTCTGGACAGTACGAGTGTCAAATATCTACCACACCACCTATAGGACACGCTGTCCATCTCAACATAGTTGGTAAGATTTTTAATTACTCCATGTAAATTACGTAACATACACGAAATTGCGATGCAATGTCATTTCGTAAAAATCTACGAAATCGGAAGAATTTGCGAATTCATTTGTATTAGTCTTATGTGTATTTTTCTACACAATATTTTCCAAAACATAGGTAACCTAATGAGATATATATTCTACTAGCCAATCTTGATGTTTTTGTCTCGGTAATAGGAAGAATTTCGTTTTTTTGACAGTTAATTAACGTTTCGTTTGATATTAGCTATTTAAATTTTATGTGCGTGTGGGATTTTAAAAAATGTAACAAAATGTTAGATTGGTAGGATAATAAAAATGCGTATAAAGTTAATTTTTATGGGCGTTTTATTGGCATTTAAATTAACAAAATATTTCTTTCAGTATAGTGATGTAGATATTATAATTAAAATTGAACTTGTTTATAGCTCATGATACTAGTACAATTACTTACTGTGGCATTATTAAACCTCGTTAAAAGTAATCTTACTATGCGGGTTACATAGAATAGCATGATATTATCTACCTATATTCTACATTAACTTGAGATTTCATAATAAGATAGTTCCGTTTACACGAAGTACAATAAGTTCTTTTACGTTGTGTGTAACCTAGCCTTTATTGAGCATTGAACAAACTGAAGCTCTTCCCATCAGTTATGCACGCACATATTAAAAGGGCATATAATAATTAAAGAATCACAGTGATATATATTTTTTTATTGATACACTTTTGTGACTTATTTTTTGTCTGTAAAAAAAATTCATGTATTGCTGAAATCATTAGTTTGAGGGTAAACAAATAACATTAACCCAATCCTGCTTGTGATCTGGTTTTGTGTAATCATTGATTGTACGATAACAATCCAATGAAGGTTGGTTTAGGCAAATTTATCGTTTAAAGTGCACTAATTTATGCTCTGTGATTAGATTCTAACAATACTCAATGATATATTCAAAAATCACTGAATGATCAAGTGATTTTAATTAACTTACAAAATTCGCTTTATCTAATTCCAGTGTTAACATAATTTATATTGATGAATTATTATTAAAATTAAGTCTGACACCAATAAAATACTATTTCGAATCTTTTAAACAACAATTAAGAAGGCGCGTACACAAAATAAATGTTTCTTTCAATTGGTTTTGTACAATAAAATGACATTCAAATAAACTGTAATGAAAAACCTGCATGAAACTTCTAAGGTTTATCGCAGTGAAAACGTGTATTAATAAAATTTTACCGTTTACCAAAGAACTGTTACCCCAAAATAATCAACCGACTTCTTTTACGTTCACACTGTTTGTTTTTTTATATTTACTTGCAAGCGATGATAAATAGTTTTTTGTTTCGCGCAATGCGCCATTCTTCGTCCCGATTTATCTAATGATATGGATAGGGTCAATATTTAGCTTCATTATCATTTAACTGCTGGACGAAGGCCTCCCCCAAATATCGCAAATTTAATCAGTCCCGCCCGGTCCTCATATAACATTTCCCGGCAATCCTGACCAGCCCTGCGATTCTGTTAAAAATCTAAACCGGAATTTGAATTCACTCAGGTGCCCGAATCTACTTCGAATGTGACATCCGCTTAGCCTAGAATTGGTATTAGTGTTTATAGGCATAAGTGAGTTTCAAAATAACATATCGATAGAATATCTGAGACACGTATAATCAATGAATTTTGTTTTGTATTTTTATACAAATAATAGAAAAAAGTTCAAATAGTTCACTCAGCACTTGTTAAAAGTCACTTCACATATATAGCTTCTTCCTCTTTATAACAAGTTACTGAGATCATACAAAGACATTGTAAAATACAGGACAAAAAAGTTTAGAACAATACAAGTAAGATGACAGAACAAATAATACAAATCGTTTCTTAAAAACCAGATAAATACATATTGATATATAACACACAATCGCTTACGTGCATATGCACACACACACACCCAAACACACAAACAAACAAACACACACACAATACACACACACACACACACACACACACACACACACACACACACACACACACACACACACACACACACACACACATACACATACACAAACAGACATTATATTATCTACTCGTTGTTTTATTAATATTTGCAATATATTTAAGGAGGAACCTGCCTCTCATAACATACGGTAACCTTATATGAGAGCAGTTCACATTTTGTACTGAAAAAAGTGTATAAAATAATTTCATTTTTCATTTTAATAGGATTTTTATGGAATCGTTCTGCAGGTCGTCGATCTTTATATAAGGTCTTAATAGGTATTCACATAGAAATTGCTTCTGGAATAGAGAATTTAAGTCGGATTTTAATGTATAGGTTCGTATATACACGACGGGTGTGAATTTAACCAATCAAATAAACGACTAAGGGCACTGTGAATTGGTTACCATGTGATGTAAAAAGTAATTGAAGTATGTCATTTTGGAGATTTCATTCATCATATATGGCTAGTTTCTTCGACCTTGTTACAGCAAATCCTCTTTGCTCAATTTCATGTAAACATTTTGGAAGCCCAAGTTAAATAGGACTCCATCCACAAACTATTATTTGCTGCCTCCAGCTCACGATGTTACCGGCAAACAGACTTTGTACTTAGCGTGTTTGTCCTCACATCCTATTGTATGTTAGTTAATTCGATAGTAAGTTTCTGCCTGTTTGCCTTTACTTATCTTCCAAAACTGTCATTCAATTTGATAGTACGAAATTATCTTCTCACAAATGATTCCCTATTATAATTATGCTTTCAAAAAAAATCATTGGGGTTTACTTAAAATTTACAAAAATATTAATAGATAATTCAAATGAGTTTTCTGAAGTTCACACTTTTGAGATTATGACTAATATCAATAATAATAAGTCAATCGTTAATTATGTTACAGATTTTGTCAAATATTTTATCATTTTCTAACCTAAACAAAAAACCTTGTTTGGTAATACTTTGGGTTTACTTAAAATATTATTTTGTTGTTACGTGTAAATTAATAAATATTATTAAAAATTCAATACACAAGATATAAAATTTAAAAAAAGAAGGTAATTTCCTTGCCCATATAGTATAGTATTATAAGTCTATTATAGTATATGGGCAAGGATATTAAATCAAATCAAATCGATTTGATTTGATTTGATTTGATTTGATAGTATTATAAGTCTATTATAGTATATGGGCAAGGAAATTATCTTCTATCTACCATAAGAATTGATAAGGTAATTACACAAACTAAATGAATTCTCGTTTTCGCCAAAAGTATTGCCATTGTAATCCCTTTTTCATTGAATTTGAACTTTAGCGATATTTATCGATATTGACATTCCATCTTCAGAGTGTGCTTTTTCACCATGCAATTTTGTTCACAGAACCCGAAACAGAAATAATGGGTGGTTCTGACTTATTCATCTATGCTGGCTCCACAATCAATCTCACATGTATCGTACGGCATACGCCAGAGCCACCTAGCACAATAAATTGGACGCATAGAGGCAAGGTAAGATGGATCTTTTTTTTACAATTTGAAAACGGAAGACAGTTTTAATTCTTTAAAGCATTGTCTACATCTTAGCAGCCGTGGATAACGATTCAATAAATAATTCGGTAAAATACAGACCCTAATACAACCGCATGGGTGCTTTTAAACCAGTTTAGGATAAGGGAGGGCAAGGTGGAAGGAGTGGGCAAAATGGAAATATAGTTATTGTTAATTAGAAATATATTTTCATGATTTAATTGCCTTACAAAAACAATTTCAATAAGAGAAACCTTATTAATAATTAAGAATTTATTAATCGGTTAAATTGGAGAAGATTTCCATAAAAAAAATACAAAATTAACCTGTAACAATAGTAATAGTGATATATGGAATCATATAAATTTAAAATCGCAATCGCTCTTTGAACAAATGATGATTTGATTAATCTAGAAACATAATAAAAATTTATCTAAGCCCGCCGAAAGATTGCGGATAGTATTTCGTTTGACATTTCCTAATAGTTTTCGAAGATATTTGCGTCTAATGCCCGCCTTAGATATTTCCAATTAAAGTAAAATTAACGATATCGTTCATTCTATATCTTTAAAAGAGGCGCGATCGTATTCCTTGTCACATATCACAGTTATGCCGTGAAGTTCGTGAATATCTTTCAAATTTCATATTGAAAAGGGACCCCGATTGATTTCAAATTTACACAATTAGCCCCCTGCAAGTTTAATCACAAAATAAAAAATGATTATCCTTTATTTATCAAACGGTACTCAAGTTTATAATACTGAAAACGGGATTAGTTTCAAGGAATACATTAATATCCAATATCGTTTTAGTATCAAGGGACAGTAACTTCTAATGGAGATAACGAACGGAAGGATAAATTTCACCAATCTAATTTAATCAGTAATAATTAAGTTTGAAATTGATTTTGGCCTCTTTAGTCACCTTATGTGCTATAATGCCTATTTTGTTCAATTTACATTATTACAAGTTTAAAGATGCCAATACAGGGTTAAAACGAAATAATAAAATAAAAAAAAATCAAGCAACAAGGAAATAAATACCAATTGAAAAATAAAGATATCTTTTTTTATGCAAAATTAAATTACGCAAAATTAATCAATTTTTGACGTGAGTCGTGCATATTGAAAATAAAATATTTTACGATACCATGACTAGTCATTCGTATCTATTCAAATCGCTCTTGCTTTTATAGCCGAACTAAATTTGGACCTTATAAAACTAGGCATTGTAATAAAACGGGTTACATACAATATTTGATGTTATCCAATTACTGGTAAATTGTGTGTCCAGATACAATAGTCTGACAAAAACTTAACAAAGCTATTTCGCTTTACATGACACGGTACCTACACGAGCTTCGTTAAATAAACAGGAACACGCACACCAATGTAAATAAATGTAAACGTTTTTATTTTGATTTAGGAGCAGAATAGGTTTGTACCTACGTCACTTAATTAGTATTATCCTAATTGATATTTAGCTTCTTACAGAGGGATTTCTGTTTGCTCCTAAATAAGTAGTATAGATTTAACATGAGATGGAGTATTTCGTTTATTCGGTCTGCCCTACGGAAGTTAAGCAGCTTTCGCAAGACTAGTTCATAGGATGGGTGACCAAAATTTACTATCTCCAGCTCCTTCGTGCTTCATAAGGCACGTTAAGCCGTTGATCCTAGCAGTATCTGCTGTCATTAACACCCACTAACTATCAATGGGCCTGCGTAATGGGTCATAGTCCATTCTTCTTATTAGATTCTATTCATATACTCGTAGAAGACCCCGTACCTCAGCAATAGATAAAAGGCCAATGATAAAAAGGCTGAAACGGTGGGCTCTGGAGCCAACCGTTTATACGAATATTTTCTTGTCGGTAATGGTTTGGGGATATTTTTATTAAATATATTTATAGTTTCTATATGGTATCGGGTATACCATATATTAAACTAAAAATATATTAGATTAATCCATTTTTATTAAGTTCATCATTTCTGGCGGATTATGTTAAACCTAAAACATGACATTGGTTTTTTAAATAGTAGGTTTTATTAACGAGACGCTGGATAAAATTACAGTACTTAAAATGCAAAAGAAAGCTTGTCTAACACAAGTTTTGCTCATTAATTTCTTTTTCGCAAAAGACATGATAACATAAATATTTAATTTTAGTTAGTTAAATAGTCGACTATTTTTGAATATTTTAAAACGAATATATATTTCTATAATACATATATACCCATATTAATAATAATACAAATTTAAATAAATTTACTTAATAAATCAACAGCGTTTTTTTTGTGCAAAGTTAAATGTTTAACTTCTGTAGTCGACATTGACAAGACTTAATAACCAGCCCTGCAATTCTGTAAAAATCCAAACTCGAATTTCGAAATGACATTGTTATAGAATATCACGTATATTCAATACCTTTTGTTTCGTATTTTTATATAAAAAAAAAAATAGAATTTCTTCACTAAAAGAGGTGAATGACACCTGAGAGAATTCCAATTCAGGTCTGGATTATTTCAGAATGGCAGGGTAATTGTCTATTTTTTTATCATTAATTATTCATACTGTTTATGTACGTTTAGATGCATAAACCTGGTTTTATTTTTACTGAAAGATGTCCATTAGTATTGCGCTTTAGAAATTGCATCGGATCACAATCAAGATGAGACTTGTACTCGACAAAGCCTTAATAGCTGAAAGCGTCGGTGCAGATTGCAGCTAGCATCTTACTCAGGATTAAGGAGAATTATGTCTTGCACAGACGTCATTTTAGATGCACGATCGTTATTATTAGGATTACAACTTTCGCAAGGATTGGGCACTGGATGAGTAACCAAAAAATTATTATCTCGAGCTATATCATATTTTGGAGAGTACGTTAAGCCGTTGGTCCTGGCTGCATTTTCAGACGGTAATACTTTCTAATTAGGGATCCAATGATATATCGAAACACCGATATCGAAGCAGCATCAGCATCAATATCGATATCGACAAAACCTATATATCGAAACCTAATATCGAATAAAATCCTGAGAGTAAATGTCTATTAGTTGTCCAAATTTTAACATCCGACGGCATCTTCACATGTGATCTTAAATTCGTAACACTGTTTTATGTGACATTATTTTGTAACCCTGATTTTAGTTTTGAAATTCTATTATTAATTTGAAAATGAAACGTTATTCCCAATCTAATAGCAATCTATTTATAGTGGCAATAAGACATTTTCCTATTGTGACCAGGAGCAGGCCTTCTGAACGCCTTTCTTTAAAAGCAACACGCATAGAATGAAAGATCGAGGGAATCTTTGTCGACAGCAAACCTTACATTTTACGGATTAAGAGTGAGATATCGTATGAACGCACAGGAGAATGATGACATTTGGGTGTAAACAAAACGCTTTCGAGTTCATCACGCGTACAGGATCCGACATTACACGAAGTAAAAACAATCTTGGCAGCCAGGCAGTAGCCGCCACTAATTAGGGGTCGATTTTTTAAAAATACGTTTAAGATTAAATATATAAGGTTTTACAAACAAGATATCGATATCGATTGTAACTGATATATATATAGAACTCAATATATCGATATTTATATGAAATTTGCATCTCTACCTGTAATCCGCATTGGCCCAGAGTGGCAGGTCATGGCCCAGCCTAAGCTCTTGCAATAAGAACATTAAAGGGCTTATCAGCCCTTTAACGTTAACATCCTTCTAGTAGAATTCTGTATTTTACCCCGAATTGCTATTTACCGCTACATTCTTATGAAAACCAAGACAATGGAGCGTTTTGCTTCACAGTAGAGAGAAAAGGTATTAGGAACTACAATGGCTTGAACTTTTTTGAAGTGAATGACAGAAGTATGTTTTGAGATATTTGTGTCATCTCTGACATTTCAAAATATAACATTCCCAGTGTGTACAGTAAGAGATTTATAGTATCCATCATTTTTGCTTCATCGAAAGCCTCCATGGATAGTAGATGACATTAATAGTTTTATGAAAGTGCTTTTCGTGGTACAAAGGGGCTTCGAAACAAAAGCCAGTGGTTTCATTATTCATCCGTTTTCATCCAAAACGAAATTTCCTCTGCTATATCGCTTATAGCTTTGATATCAAGTTTTTCCATTTCTTTGATCCTGTTGCAATGTGATAGGCCTATACTGTACGATATGCGTTACTCTGATGCATTGAACTTCGAAAATTGGTTGATATATTCTGTGTATATAAAATTATTTAAATATAATTAGAATATTAAAATGGCTAAAATAGTAACTACAAGATTTATCAATATTTATAGTAACTAGATTAGTTATTATAAATATTGATTTGACGAAAATTGAAATAGACATTGGATTGAAATTGAGATTGAGATAGCGTGAGATTTCCGCTGACAATTCCAGCCGGTTTTACTTTGTCAATGATTTACCGACTTTTCTAAAATATGTATTATTAAATTTTCAATATTCTATTTTATATCCAGGACTGCTTTTATTAACGACGAGCAATTGCATTCTAACCAATCTAAATTTCTCAGTGTGAAGCTTAGCACTATTTCACTTCACTCGAGGCGGACACATTAAATATTCTATTCCGCCCAATCCCGGTATTGCCGCGTCGACAAGTCGGTATCATGGGATGCAGGCAAATAGTTCAAAACGTATAACGGCTGTTCAAAGTGGAGATTGCAATGAGTTTGCGGAAGTGTTCCTTGATTGTATTTGTTCTTGTGCAATATACTGCGTGACCGATATATAAGTGTATTATATATTAATACCATAAGTACTTACTCGACATTTTTATGGCAAATGAAACCTAACTAGAATGATTTATTGCCTCGAAATAACAAAAATATTAGTATTTACTAGATTTCATGAATATTGTTGGAGCCGTTTCCTAGATTAGGATTATACCTCTAATTTACATATTACTAAATTTCTCAATAGATAGATACATATATAGTAATGTTAA